TCTGGGGGGGGGTGGTTTCTATGATTTAGTCACTTTAGAGTTCTAGCCATGATACCCTCCCCCCCTTTCTTTAGTTAATAAGGAAGCCAAGAAGTAGAAAATCTCACATAAAGCAGATTCCATTGTCCCTTCTGTCTTTCCCTATAGGGAAGTCCAACTGGGAATGATTCACCTGAAAAACAGAAAATTGATATGGGAGGCATATTATTAATTAACTGAGCACCAACTACATGCTAAGTACTCTCATAATCTGGAGTTATCAAGATTCAACTTTGTTGATTATCCTTAAATGTATATACGTGTTACTGTTTCTGCTTTTTATAATTAAACCAGGCAATATTTGGATGTTGGAAAGGACCCTAGGAGTCCTTTTACAGATAAAGACCTTGCGGTCCAAAGAGAAACAGTGACTTGTCCAAACTGTGTAACATCTTGGATGACTTTACTTTCCTTGCCTCAGGGAAGACGCCCAAGCCTTGGGATGAAATACAGATTGAGAAGCTGTTTGATCACTGCAGCCCATTAGGGCTGGGCTGCAGCCCATTAACCCAAATGAGAAAAGCTCTGGCTTCTCTAGGCAGCCTCTGAGCCTAAGGTAAGAACCAACCTCCTAAGACAACTATGTCTTTTTCCTCCTCTGGGTCAAAGGAGCTGTTCCTCACTTGTTTATGGAGGGCCTCGCATAGCTGGTGAGGTCAGGGTTGGGTTCATTCCTGAAATAAGCCAGTTAACTCCTCCAGATCCCCAGGTGTGGGGTGCAGGAGCCCATACCTGGCCCTGTGGGCATCTCCTGCACCATTTCCCCCAAGAACACCATGCCAGAACGCTATCCCATTAGCAGTGGGAAGGGAGCATCATCTTTGACTTGGACCCAGAGCCCTTTAGTTACTGGGACACAGAGTCTTTTAGTTACCTGGGAAGTAAATTTGACACCTCATTTTTTTAAAGGGCAAAAATAAACCAAGAGATGCAGTTAACGAGCTTTTATTGCAAATCTAGTTAGAAAGAGAAGAGTGTCAACGTGGAATTAAGAAAATAAAAAACACCTCCTAGTGAAAACAAAAGTGTCTGTTTTTCTAAGAAGCAAAATTTATTGTATTTATGCTGTAATGAAAACATTGCCTGTGTTTTGGTGAGAGGAGACAAAAAGGAAAAGAATTCTTGGCTATACTTCTTTTCTGTTTGTAGAATTAAACAATGTCCATATTCAAGAAACTGAAGATGAAAACACAACAAAAACACAACAGTCTTTTTATTTGTGTAAATCAGATCAACACTGGACAATAAACCAATTTCTACCCATTACCGTAACAGCTTGTCTATAAAGAACAGAAAAATTCAGATAGGATTCTACCTAGGGTCAAGCGTTTTTTTTTTTTTTCTTGTTTTGTTTTTAACCACCCATTCACAGAGGTATAGATTCACAGATAAATAATCCCAAACTACTTGCCATATTTACACATTCCCATTAAATTAAGCATAAATAAATATATACAAACTTAACATGGATACCCTCCAGAACTCTTCTTCCGAAGAGTCAATAGATTGATATTTCTTGATTGTGTGGCAAAAACAATGTTAGTGAATTAGAGACCAACTCAACAGTGGAGTCAATTTTGGCATTTAAAGAATTGTGTTCATTCCACTTTTTGAAAGAAAACAAAAATGAATTTTGATATTTTGATATTTCTTCTTACTCTTTCTTTTTCTTTTCTTTCTTTTTTTTCTTTCTTTCTCTTTTTAACCCCGATAATTTAACATATATTGGCACAGGAGGGGAAACACTGTTTGGGCTCTTGAGGCAACATCAGATGGTTTAAGATTATTATTTCCTTTCCACATAATGTATTACGCATACAGGATATCAGATGTGATGACAAATTCTCTATAAACACTCTAAGTAGGAAGGAGTTGCCCTTTTAAGTAAGGCTTTGTACCAGAGGAACAGTGTGTAGATAAGTCCAGGGCTTCAGGTTTTCCATTCAACCAGTTTTCATAGGATATGAAATAATTGCTTGAGAGAAAGCGGCTTCCTTGGCCAAAGAAAATAAAACAGCCAGGTCTTTGAAAGCCTCTTCAGTTCTTTATGTGGGGGTGGAGAAAGCTAAGGATTTGGAGCCAGAGAGAAGGAAAGAAAATGCAAGATAATTTTGGGAGTGGGAGGGTGAGAGAAAGTTACTTTCCCAGTTTGGGGGAGAAATTACAGATCATTTTGATGGTGGAAGCCTCTCTCAGAGAGCTCCTCCGCTTTTTTTTTTTTTTTTTTTTTTTTTTTTTTTTTTGCTCCCCTGAGACCCATGATACCTGTAGGAGGAGGCAGGGTTGGACAGAGAATGGTCAGGAGACCTTTGGAACCTCCAAAAGGAACTTGCAAAGTGGAAAGTGTGAAGGCAACGTTGCCACATCCTGACTCCTTTTTTCTAGCTTTAGCTGTTTTGGTTTGGGACTAAGCATTCGGGAGGGGGCACGCGGCAAGGATAAAATGTCTCAAGAGTGCAGGGTGGAGGAAAAGCTGCAACTCACCTGTTTGGTTTGAAAACAAAGCTCAAAAGGGCTTGTTTTAAACGTTTCCCTTGACTTAAAAGGCAAACTCTTGCGTTAATCCTACTGTTTATTGATTTATGGGCCCAAGGAAACCAAATCTTTTAATAACTCAATTATCAGATAAACGTAGCGGGCCTGGCTAACGAAAGCAAAGGGGGCAGGGGTGGTACATAAAAGGAGAAGTGAGGGAGCGAGGGAGCGAGTGAGGCAGTGGGCTCTCTCCACGCGGGGGGTGGGGCGCGGGAGGCGCGCAAGGGGCTCTACTTAGCGGGGGCGCGGGAGGAACACTCGAATGAGGGCGAGGGGCGATGAAGAGAGCCTGCATAGCCAAAATGGACAATTCGTATCCCATCACCCGCCTTTAGGAGCGTGAGGAGGGAGAGTTTTCGTCCTGCCAAAGGCTGGGGAAGCTTCTGATTCCCCGGACATTTCTAGGCCACTTGCCCTCCAGGAGCAGGCGCCCGGAGCGGCCGCTGGTAGCAAAGGGCACGGGCAGCGCTGAGACCCCTCCCCGCCTGCAGCCCACGTGGCGCCGCCCCATTACCTACTGGAGAATGGGGCTTTCTCGGTCGCCTTAGCCCTTAGGGTGAGACCGAGAACGAAAAGGGCCCGCGCGGCCCGAGGCCCCTCCAGCGGCTGATTCTATGTCCTCAACACGACTGGGCGCGAGTGGCCCACACGCTCTCAGGACCTGCACAGTAAGAGCAAGGCGCGTCCATCGCGTCTCTCGCACGTCACACGCGTGGGGCGCGTTGCCCTGCAAGGAAAGGAGACGATGGTTTTCAGTGTGGTTTCTCCTGGCCTTTTGCAATCAGAATACATATAACGCAAACGGCCAGGCCCTCCGACAAAGGCTCAGGCTTCTGAGCTGGGGAGAGATGGAGTGTCTACACTCTCCATTAGGTTTAGTTCCCAGCCTTTGTACTTCACCTCGTCTAGGACTGAGCCCTGTACACCCAGAAGTTCCCAAAGGCGCTAGCGGTAGATGGGCTGGGGTGTGACCAAAACCGTTGCTTGGACCTTCCTGGTGATCTAAAACCAGCTCCCTAACGCCCTCCCCCGTAAAAGTGTCAGCGCAAAGCTCTCGGCAGGTGCCTAAACCCCAATCCTCCAACCTACCCCCAAAGCCAAAGCCCATGCGGGCGGCAGAACTGAGAGTCCCAGTGAATCTTAAGCGTAAATCCTGCAGAACAGACAGGATCTTTATCTTTCAGGGTTGTTGCAAAGGTCCTAAGGTCTAGTTGGTATAAAGAGGTGCGTGTATCCACACTAAGTTTAGAGACCACTGGGGGGGTGAATTTCCTCACTGCTTTGGGGAGGGTGGGGACAATGGGTTCCAGATCTTATTTCATGATAATGCTCAGATGAAGCCCAAGAAAGGAGCAGGGCTGCCAGAATGAGAGACATTAAATGCAGGAAACTTTATCCACTGGGAATAGTCCCAGTGTATACAGATGGTAAAATTCAAAGCTGAAATACATCTCCTTTCACTTTGCATTCATTACTTTGCCATTATATGCCAAAACAAGTGCACGTCTGAGAGGGGGGAGTGTCTCATTCATAAAGCATCTTATAAGAAAGCAATTGTTGCTAAAACACGGGAGCTTGCATCACCCTCCTCCCCACAACCACTCAAAAAGCTGCTTCTTCACCGGCTAAAACGGCAATCACCAAAGAGCCCAAGGAAATGGAATCTATTTCAAAGGCAGGGCAATATTGCTAAAATATTGGGCTCCAAGAACCCTTACTCTTCTCCCCTAAAATTCATTTTTCAGCTCCCCCTCCCGTGGAATTCCATGTTGAGGTATCTGTTAGCAACTAGACTCAAAGCTGCTTCAATCTCTTATTGGCCACTTTCTAAATTATTCCCTTTGAGCTTCTTTAAAGAAGTGCACCTGCAGAATTCTGACACACAGGCTTTGATTAAAAAGGGATCGGATTTTTTTTTTTTTCTCTGTACCTTATAGATTGTGTAGGAAGCCCAAGTCCTCTTTGAAGAAGCTCATAAACCATGCGGGCAAAGCTTTGGAAAACAGAAGAGAATGAAATGGTACATACCCCTCCGAAGGAATTACATACTAATCAACGTATTCATATTGTGCTTTTTTTTTTTTACTATTGTTCTTAAAATTGGTAGATGACACAAATATAACAAATGCAAGATTCTCTGTATGCAGATGCCGGCAAGGCTGGGAATTAGTAACATTTCTGAAAGGAACTGATGATGAGTCTGAATCAACTTATTGATCTGGATTTTCCTCAGCCGCAGGAGCCTCTGCTCAGCCGCCCGGCACAAGTGGCAGCCCCCACCGGCACCACCGCAGGCCTCCCTCCCCGCCCGCCCTCGCCCTCCCAAGGGTGCCAACGGCCTGGGAGCTGGGCGCCGGTGAGTTAAGAACGCAGGGCGGGGCGGGGGCGGGGGCACCCAGGGGACTGAAACACAACGCAAAGGGGCTAACCACACTCATTTTCATCCCGGAAAATTCCCGTGACAGCTTGAGGGAGGGAGGGCAACGTAGAAAAGGGTGGCTGGGAGAGGGGTGAGGTGAGGTGGGAGGGCGGGGACTGCAAGAGTGTTTCCTAAAAAAATATTAAAAATTAAAAAGTTCGTGCGTCTCAGTCAACCAACTCTCAAAGCACTGACACCAACAATGTTTCTCCGATTTTCTTCCAATAAGTTAGCGTTTTCTCATGTTTAGTCTTACGTTTATTTTCCAAAGGGGGAAAATCATGGTTTTCTTTTATTATCAGTATTACTAAGCTCGAAAGAACCGAAGTGGAAAATCCGGACGTTTGTCTCCAAGTGTATCTTGAAATAGACACTGAGAACCGATATTGTTGCTCCGTTGTATGCCTCAGTTTTTTTTAAAAGTTATTTAGCTCTTTTTTTTAAATTTGATTGTATGTGTATTCTACCTAATATAATTCTTCCAAAGCCAATCCAACATTTTAAAGCTAAAATTAAATTTTTTCTGTTTTCCTTTTGTATTTAAAACATTTTTCTTTTTTTTTTTTTTAATTTTTCATTTCCTGTGTTTCTCCTCCTTGTCGCCAGTTTTACTACCTGGGCCTTCCCCAGACGTGTGCCTGTTAGTGGTGGTGTTGTTCAAGAACATCTTGTCCATGCCTTTGAGCGCCTCGGTGAGATAGTTCTGCAGGGCCGTGAGCGCGGCGCAAATGGCTGGGGCGCCGAAGCCGTGCGTGATGAGGCTGAAGTGCGTGAGGCAGCTCTGGATCCCCGGCTCCAGGATGGGGCTAGGCCTGCTGTTCCCGATTGGCGTCCGATCCTGCGCCAGCAGATCCGTAAATTCTTTACAGAGTTGCCTGCAAAGAGGTGGGAGAGGAATAAAAAAAATCACCCTCAGTGTCGTTGTCACTGGCATTAGAAAGGAGACGCTCACACAAGCCCAGAGGCGCCCGGTCACCATAGAGCCAGGGAGCGAGGCTAATGTGGACGATTCCGCTCTGATTCCCTTCCCAGCGCTCTCCCTTCTGGAGCAGCTGGGACTAGACTAGAAGGAAAGCGGGGGTGGGGAAGTTAGGCGCCCCTTCTATCCCAAAGCCTTGCCTTTTTTTCTCAAATCCAGTTTTCCCCGCCCCCACCTTCATTCCAGGGCCGCTTAAACACTGCTTGGGAAATCGGCTAGGCTTTAGCGTTGGGTTTTGAATATTCAGTAGTGTTTGGCTCTTACCTGGCAGTTTTGTAAAAACCCCTTCCCCCTTCTCTCCTCTGCCTCTCTAACCTCTTGGTGATCAGGCTCAAAAAGCCCTGAAAGATTTAGGCCCCTGAGCCACAAGCCTGTCCCTGGCACAGAAGCAGATTGCCGGAGACTTGCATGGCCCAGGGCAAGCAACTGTTTATTCCAGGAGAGAATGCTGATTCCATTTAAAGCAAAAATCTGTTTACCTGCAGTATTTGGGAAGGAAGGTATATTTTCCCCTTTTCCCCCTTTCTTTTAAGCACAGGCTACTGAAAATCTTTGTACAACAGGATTGTTGTCAATATAAAAGGATTCCTACATGTTTAAATAAAACCTACAGGTAGATGGTTAAGACACTGGAGAGGGTAGGTTTTTTATTTGTTGAAGGTTTTTATTTCCTCAAGGCAACTACAATTTAGAGGAATCTCTCAGCCTTAGAAATCCTACGTGCCTAACTACGAATTGAGCTTATTTGAGAAATTTTTAATATAGGAGGTGGACAAGAGAGTTAATATAGGAGGGTTTTAGCCCGGAAGGTCCAATGGCTTGGCTCTGCTACCAGTCAGAGGAATGGCATCCCAAAGGCCATAGCCTTTCACAGACTGGCAGACTGCTTCCACTGGTGGGGGCGGGAGTGGTGAGAAAGAAAAACTACAGAAGTCCAGTCTCAGCACCCGCACCCCCCCCCCGCCCTCCCCATGGCCTGACACTTGGGGACACGTGGGGCCTGGACAACAGGTAAACAAGGCAGTTACCTAGAGGCCCATATGAGTGACCCTGGGGCATCCTTTGCCAGGGGGATTACTCTCAGGAAGAGTAATGCCTGAACAAGACAGAGAATTACCTCCCCCACCCCCACCGCAGCAGGTGAAAGGGTTTTGTTTTTAAGGCTGGTGGGTAGAGAATCCTAACAGGTATCCTCTCTCTACCCTCCCCTCTACTGGTTTCTCCACTCGAAATGCACACATGCATTCTTACAGCTAGGAAGAGATAGGGTAACGGTTCTATCTAAATAGGGCAGTTCTTAGGCCAGGGGTACCTTGGAATCAATCACCTGTGGGGCTCAAATGCACACATCCATGCCTCTGCCCCCACGATTCCAATTCAGGGAGCTTGAGACTAGGTCCACAAATAAATATCTTGGAAAAGCTCCCCAGATGATTCTGATACTCACCACAGGTTAAGAAGTGGTGTCCTAAGTGAAGTCACAGGGTTTCAAGAGGTGATGGGGTGGGGGAAGTTACAAGCATTCCTCAGGGAAATGATAGCATTTGTGGACTCCTATTACCTAATTTATGCACTTTAGTTTTTTTTTCCCCCAAAGTACATTTACTCTTTTATAAAGCACTGACAGGTCCCCCACAACCAGACAGTGAGGCAAGGGGCAGGAGGGCAATAGATCCATTATATTGCTAGTTGGTGCATCAGAAGGAAACCTTCCAAAACCAGGACGGGTGCCAGGTTTTGATCATTGGAAGAGATGGTTAAAGTCTCTCCTTAAGTTTGTACTCATTACCAAAGTGCCAAAAAGGAAATTCTGAACTGGGGAGGACAAATGCTTAGAGTCAAACATTCTAAATCTTCAAAGCCCAAAGCAGGGTCTGTAAGCAATTAAAGTTCTGGGACATTAATATTTTTTGACCCTGCGGAAAGGGGCAATCAAATTCCAATCACGTCTCAAAAACATCTGGACAAATTTGAGCAAATGATTTTTCAGCCTTCCATATATTTCTTTAAATTACGCTGTCAACGGAACAAACCGCGTCCTCCAGCACTAAATAAATGAGCGCCGCTGTTTGGGCCGAGCCTGCGAGAGAAACGTGCGGGTGCACGCAGCGCCGCCCACTGCAGGCCTGAGCCGGCCATAAACCACCAACAATATGACACCGAAGCCAAAGACAGGAGTAAATCAAATAAATAGAAAACCCACTGTAAAAGTTCAAATGAGCTCTAGACCTAAATTTAGCCAGAGATTTACTATTTTCCCCTCTGGAGTTGTAGTAAATTTTACATCAGTGGAAGATGCCAAACAGCAATGTAGTAAAGAGAATAATTAGAGCTGCGGGTAGAGATGGGTACACGTGGGTGACATATAGACACCCCGAGCGTGGATATGACAGGGAGATGTGAAACCGGGCAGAAATGTGCACCTAGGGACCCAGGGAAGAACTGGAACAAGAACCAACCCAGAAGAAGGCGATAAGAACTGTAAAAAGCCTGGATTCATATTAATAAAGCCATTCTCCCCCAGAAACTTGGTAATTGAGGAGACCAAGAGAAACCCATAGCCCATAGTCAACTAGGGTGGGGAGGAGGGAGGAGAGAGAGAAGGGCAGCAGGGTGGAGCCGGGAGGGCTCCTAGCCAGCAATCCACAGGCTGCAGAAGCTACTTTGACCACTGAGCTGCTTCCCTGCCCCACAAATGAGGTCTGCATTGCCGCTCCCCAGTTCCCCAACACCGCCTCCCCGTGCGAGGTGCTGAGGTGATGCAGCAGGGTGGGAGTCAGCGAGGAGGGCTGAGGGTCTGGGACACTCACTTGGTAGCCAGCAGCATATTCTTTCGGGAGTGCAGGTCACTGGGGTCGGTGTGCTGCCGGTTCAAATACTCAGAAACGGCTTTAGCAGGAAACTCCGTTTCACAAATATACCCAAAATCCCGAGCTAAGTGAACAGCTTCTCCTGAAAGACAGCAGCAGAGGTAATAGTCAGCACCTAGTCCCAAATCATCTCAGGACAAGAGATCCTTCCCGGTCAACCGTTGTCATTTACAGAAGAGGCCAGCTGTTGGGGGCAAAAGCAAAGGTGAGACTGATGCCCAAATAAAAATGATTCTCAGGCCATAAAGTTGATGGAAGAAATTTTGCCCCTGCTGCTCTTTGCAGCCTCTCCCTGACGATCCTTTTAGCCAAGTCCTAGCTAGACATCCTCTGAATAGCTTCAGGCCTCCTACGTCCCAGGCTTTCTCTTAAGGGAAAGATAGGCAGATATGTTCAGGAGCCACCTTAAAATTGCGCCTAGACAGTTGGCTGGATATTCAAGCCAGATTTCCCACCCCCTTTTAAAAGCACCTGTTACATCTGCTTTAAGTAAAATTTAAAAGTATTCCTGTCTTTTGTATTATCTTTTGTATCTTCCTATAACTGCACTAGGAAAAAACCTCTTATTAATAACTAATATATACAAACATAATTCCATGTGTGTACATGTCCACACATATTAAAGAACATATGTAATAACATATATGGAATGAGTGTTTCTATCCAGCAATGAAATATTTATTCTTTGTCAGTTCCCTGATAGGTTTCAGGTTTCTCCTCAGAGGTTCCTGTCATCATCTTCCTATTTAAGGACTTTCTACTGCACAAGATGACACAGCAGCTATAGAAAACCTGGACATCTGAGAGATTCCTCAGCTTATGTGGAAGCCCCTTTCAAATAAAGCATTATTACCCTTTAATGCACAGCCTTAGGTGTTCAAGGGAAGATACCGAACATGAAAAAGAGACATGTTGAATTGTCCCATAGCTATGTTATTTTTAAGGAGCATGACTTACTTTTAATCATCATTATTATAGTAACAACAAAAGACTTCAGGCATGATGCTTACAATGATCCAGATCCATAAAACTGAAAACTGCTAAACGAATATTGGAATTTCAGTAGTCTTCCCGTTTTGTTCTTTCTCCACCCAATTTCACGTCTTGGATAGAGATTACCTTGACTGCTTTTACAAATTAAGGATGGTGATATTAGCAATTCTCTGAAGGACAAAAAGTAACCCACCCCCACCCCCAGCTGAGAGTCAACTGCTAATAAGTGTGCTCGGGAAATTTGGTGACTGCTGCCCCTGGAAGGTAAGTTGGGCCAGGCAACTTTGCCTTGAAGATGGCAAAGTGCAAAGCCTATAAATGTGACGACTTTATGGTTGCTCCTTGCATATTCTAAGATCTCCAAAAACCAATTCCCCACAGGAGTGTCAAAATATCACATCCACAAAAATAAAAGAAAAAACCAAGACCAACATGTTAGACTCTAGAGAAAATTCTACAACTTCCTTCATTAGGACCATCTGGCTGTATTTCCTACCCCTTCCCCATCCCGCAAATTAACTGCAGATCCTCTTGTTCTCAACTGTGTAGAAGATCCTGTTTATTACATACCATAAATAGCATCATCCCCCAACCCCAAAATGATGAGTAAATTAGAATGTGCTTGTTATGATTATGGGCCTTTAATTCACAATTGATGGATCTACACTGAAGATCATACGTGACTCCCCTCCTTGTTTCCTCACCCCACCCTTGACTCCGTTTTCTCCTAGGCCTCATTGGCTTCACTAAGCCATATTTCATTCATAGTAAGTCCCAGGTAACCAGCAGGAGATGGGACCCTGGGAGTGGCATGAGTTTTAAAAAAAACCCAGGGGTCATGAATGCAATAATAGTTTCATAAACTGACAATGTGTTTTCTACTACTGACGATTCAGAGGTAGAACCTGGGAAGGAGAGGGGTATAGAATGGATTGCTGCTTCCGGAGTTAACTCTTGCGAGTTCAAACAGAGGGTGTTTCATGCACTCTGTCCTGCATCTGGTGGCAGAATTGACCCCTGCACTGCCTTAAGAGTCTGGACCTGAGCACTCTTCAGAGCTTAGGGACCCTCGCACACGTCCCTTGGCCTCTCTACAATTGCCAGCTCCCTCTAAGTAAAAGGACCTTTGAACTCTCAGGCAGCCGCTTGACATCCAACTCATAAGGGCACAACAATCGCAGTGATTTCCAGTTAATCATGAAACGTGTAAAATGTCAACCTTCAGCCAACAGTTAAACTTCGTGAAATGGCCACACGTCTTGCTTACCTTCCACCAGGGAGGTGAGTAACGTGACATTTGCAGCTTTGCGCCTGCCCGCGGGTAAATTCAAACCGATTTTTTCTAGCCTTTCTCGCAAAGATCTCCCCCCATTTTTCGATTTGGCTCTGAAATTGCAAGAATTAACATTCTGATTAACCTCAGAGTGTTCCTGAAACAAAGTTTAGACTTAGCAATCTAAAGCCCAGTGGAGCTTGAAGAGGTTTTAACTTGAGGTTAGCACATTTTCCCCCTTTCCTTTTGGTTATTTGCTGATAGTTTGCTGAGGTTTGCTTAATTTCTGCAATACAGAGCATAAAAAAAAAAATGAGTCTTTTTTTTTAATCTCGTGAGAAAAAAATATGATACCAGATGGGAATAATTAGGGTGTAGGTTGTGGGTCTAGAAAAGGTAGAAGTTGCACATGCAACACACAAGCTCTTTCCTTATAATGGAGCCAGTTAGGTGAACAGAAACTGAGCAAGCACAACCTTGCTGAAAAGAGGGAAAGAACTGGGTGGTTCAGAGAGGAGGCACTAACTAGCTGAATCAGGTGGGGTTTTCGAGGAAGGAAGGGGTCAAGAGTCACTATAAAATGGAGTTGGGTTAAAAGGGGAAGGAAGACTGAAACATGAAACCAGCATGATGATGGTAATCGCAATAACAGTTAAACTAACACTTTAGGGAGTTTAGTTATGCGATAAGCACTGTATATTGATTATCTCACTAAATCTCATAGCAAGTTTTATACACACACGCTCAATGCCCAGGGGTGATTGAAAGAAACTTCCACACTCCGGGGCTCAAAGGACTCACTTCAGGAGAGCAGAGCAAGAGGATTCAAAGTGAAAAAAATCCGCGAGTCACACCCTTACTTCCTCCCCAGACTTTCCCTGTATGTGCTAAATTCTGGGCAAAAATACAAGAAAAAAAAACAAAAAACAGTTACTCTGACCTCTCTTGTGGTACTGTTCACACAGCCACTTTTAGGAAAGAAAGGGACTTTCAACTCCTCAAAGAGGCTAACTTGAAAAATTCATCTCCTACAGCGTCACCTTCATATCAGAGACACTACCAAAGTGTCCTTTGTCCAGGCATTGGCAGAGATTCTGGGTGAAGGCTTTAAATTTGAAGATAAAAGCCATCTCTTCCCCCATTTTCCACAAGGAAGTCTATGGAATGTCTCCTCCCCATATTATGGAGCACTTGAATGCCCCCAAGAAATAACTATTACTATTCCATTGTTATTATTGGTGGTGTTCTTACTGAAGACGGGAGGTCGCAAGTCAAGCACGGCATTTTTTTCAACCTGCAGGGCACAATGCCTTGATAGGTAGTGACCAATTTAGTCGTCCGCCAAGCATATTTTAAAACAAAACAGAAATATTACAGTACGTTACTGGCACAAAGCAGGTTACTCCATGAAACGTCTGTTTTAGATAAGTGTGTGTAGGTTCTGAGTTTCACTCAGGCTAGAGAATGCCCTCGAAGTGTCCCCGGGACGGGAAGGAGGCAGGCACTGGGCAGGGAGAGAGGGAGGTTCTCAGCGCGAACAACGGCGTGAGAGCGAGGCGGCGCGTGCTTGCGACGCGTGGGTCCCAGGGCGGCGGCGTCTGCGCGCGCGGCCCCCAGCACGTGGCGGCCGTGGCTCTCCGCACGCGCAGCGCGGGGGCCAGCGCTCTGGACGCCCGGTTGCTAGGCAACTGCGTCTGGCTATCTGTAGGTTTCCGGGAGAGCCCTCTTCCTTCACCCCGCAATAACCGGTTTGGGGGTTTTACCTTCTGAGGACGCCGCCGAGGAGAGACGCATTGAGGCATTCGGGGGGCGAAAGCCGTCTCTGAACTTCCCCCACAGTTACTTTGTACTTTGAAGTTGAACTGAGCAGAGACAAACGGCCCGGGACCGAGCAAAATACCTCGCCGGTGTTGACTGACATGCCTCCCAGGAATCCATCTTTATTCATCATCAGAGAAGTCACAGATTTGGGAGGAACCGGAACTAGAGAGAGAGAAAAAAAAAAATGCCATAAAGGTGACCGGGTTTCAATCCTGGTGACCGGCTGATAGAATGTGTCGGTGCGTGCTCAGGGGCGAGGCCACAGGACAGGCGCCAAGTGGAAAGCTGGAGGAGGAAGTGTTTGTTCCAGTGGGGCTGCGGTGCGTTCAGAGCACTGTGTACAAACAAATGGAAAAGCCATCACTCCTCTGGAAACTTACCTCATGTGTGTAGACCTATGAGTGTCGCTTGCCACAGCCCCGCTCACTATACAAATCAAGAAAACACGCAGCCTAGAGTTTGGATTGTGTTGTGAAACCTAGCAAATTCTATTCCATCGTGGGCTAGCTTGTGACCTGAGACATCTCAGGGAGCCTCTCTGAATCTTAGATTCCTCATCCGTCTCCTGAGGATAATAATCACATTTGGTGCTGAAGCCTGAGAGTGATTATACTATAAATGATATAAAACGGTAATACCAGTGTTCTTTATGGGAACCCCTCCCTCCTTTCCTATTGGACCCAAATCTGTGGACATCACTGGAGAGCACTGGAGAGTGGGCCCTATCAGAGACACTGCTCAAGAACAGCCAAGTAATACCATTAAGCTTGGGCTCAAAAGAGCTGCTCATTTCTCTAAAGTGGATCTCATTCTTTCCTACAACATAACAACACATTCATTTAGAAATGAACCCAAATGCTCCTCTCCAGTGAAAGCAATTCCACAGTGACATGAATTTTGTTTACAAATTAACTAAAGCACCGGCTGGTGATTGTTTGGAGCAGTTATGATTTACAACAGGTGCCCTGATCAATCAACCAATCACTCTAATTCATGTGAGCGGAGGTCTTGCCTTGCCCCAGTTGTTTCATTTCGGCAAGTAATTGATAACAAACCGCACTCAAGGTATGTTTTATGCAGAAGTTAATAAGAGCTGACAGCTGGTTGCCACTGCTACCCAGGCGCATTCAGTCTCACCAGCCTGTATTTCTGTTTAATTGTGTTTCAGTGTCATCTGCACCTCAGGAAGAGGCGGGGCTCAGTAGAACCAGAAGGCTGGGAATGAGGAACAATGAATGGTCAACCTCCCAATTCGCTGGCAGTCTTACTCCCTTGGAGTTCTACACTGCTGAACTTCTGCAGGCTCTAGAAGCCACAGGGCAGGTGACTTCTCCTGACTTGCCTTACACCTTAGCTTCTTCCAGTGCGATATGAAGCTCCCAAATCTTCAAACGGTATTTGTTGATCACCAGTCCGGGGGATTTATTGAAACATGCATCTGGCATGAAAAAGGAGGTTTCCATTCCTGTTCTTTAATAAACACAATGTCTCATCCTATAATCCTGGTAGGGGAAAGATATGCTCTTTCCACCGTCTTGAGCCTAGAACACTTATATGTCAGACAAGTTGCATAACCTCTTGTATAGAACAGACCAATCAACACTGAGTATTTTTGTAACAGCTTATTCTCTCCACTACAGATTCTGGCATTCAGACCTCCATGATTGTTTAGAGACTGCTGAAACCCAGGTAGGTCCCAAATTTCTTACTCAGTAGGAATTGCATTTGGCCCTTTACAAACACCTTGTGGAAAAGGATTTTCCTAGGAGAATGGATGGGGGTCCTGGAGCAGTCCCTTTTGCTACTCCTTAATAGACATTTTAGTATTTCTGGATCCGTCTACAGAGTCCAAAGCCTTGTCTCAGGGCAGGTGAATGATGTTAGGTAACAGAATGGATCTTCTGCACTGCTATGGGGGTGGTGGGGAGCTACAGAGCGTGCTGTCTTCTTTCTGATTCCCCTCATCGTATTATCAGTGAAGCTGCTTCCCATTTGAGAGTGAACCAATGAAAAGTCCAAGTGTGGTATTAATTAAATTTGAGTAAAATATGGAGTTAAAGTTATTTAAAAGACAGTGATTTGGGTGGGAACACCCTGTCATTTAATTCTCTTACACAACATCCACATCTATTTTGATCTGTCTTATTCTTTGCAATACTCTCAATTTTCATATTTCAGATTCATATTCAAGAACTCTAAGCAAATAATTTATGATCATGGGAATTAGCATCAGATAACCTTGGAGAAACTTTTCCCCAAAATATAGATGATGGCCTTTTGTAATTTTAACATGGGAAGAACTATGGAAATAAATTGCACAAAAATCTCATCTTCGACACTCAGCGATGTTTTTATATTTAATATTTTATATTTTATACTATTAAATATTCTTGAGAAAGAATATTTTAACAATAAAAAAACCTCACTAAGCTGAAAATAGTAAGTTCAGTTCCTATTTCCCATATCAGACAATCAAATACCTCCTTAGGATTGTAATTTATCTGCTTCTCAGAGTCCCAGTTGCCAAATCTCTTGAAAAGCCAGGCCTTTAGAGACACTTTATAACCTGCCCTCTAATTTCACTATTGTTAATTGCTTGATTTACCTGACAAGAGCCATTTCCTATGGGGAATGTATATTGTTCCCTCCCTGGGCTGTACCTTTCCGCAAATGCATTATCACCTGAATATCACCAATCCAGTTAGCTTCTGTCAGCACACTGCTGTCTTCTTTTGTTGTTGTTTTCCCCACAAAGATGCAAACTATTTGAGCAGACATGCTTCAGGTTATATTTCCATTTTCTTAATTTAAGTATAAATTGTGTTCCTACCATCTACTCTCTCATCTTCAGGTTCTAACTAACCCTCTCCTACTCTGGCCTTAGACCTGGTATCTTAACGACTAGACCCTACCCATTTCTTGTCCTAACTTTCCTTAAAATCCCTCACACTGTTATTTACCTTCCCCTTCACTGTCACACCTGCTTAGCTCAGCTGATTAACCCCATATTTTATTCTCTTTGTCTTTTCCCTTCTGCTTTCCTCCAGCTTATCAATAAACCCAGAGAGCAACAGGGCCCGGTTGATTTGTTAGTAATTATGAGCACACTGTTCCTGCTCATGGAACCCAGAGATGACTAAGATAGGTTTAAAGCGACAGCAGGAAATGGTAAGGAAATGGAGCATAGCAAAACTCAGCGTGAAGCTTTCAGTTCTTTACATGTTTACAATTTTCTGTGCATACATTAAAACCGGTTTTTTTTTTCCCCTATTCGGTTCTCAGTTGCATATCATGACCAACTTCTGGATGTAACATCCACAAAACTTGCTCCCCCTTTTTTTCTTGCATTATATCGGGGAGAAGGAAAAAAGGGTTGAAACCGATCAATATTTCATTACAGTGACTGGAGTTTTATTTAAGAGAGAGGAAGAAAGACTGATTAGGGAAAATATTATTCATTAGTGGACTACAGAGAGCCAATGCGTTAATAGACTAGCTCTTAATCTGTATTCTTTAAACTTGAGTATAAAATCGGAGCCTTGCTATCTTTGTGTTTGACTGCAAACAGACCCTCTGTGGCTCTGATCTGCTGGTGGGGAAGAAGGGAAGAAATGAACCCATTTAATAGATTCAAGGGTAAGTCCCTCTGGAAGATACTCAGACTTAAATATGTAAGCTATACCAGGAAGCCACCAAGAGATTGAACAGTGCTTGAAATAACTACTTCTCACCAGCAGAGCACCCCCTTCCTTTATACTTGCATTGTTTCTCATCTACCTGAGGGCTAAATATTTCACATGGATATATAGCACATCTATTAATGTGAGGACCAAAATCCTGGAAAGAAAAATAAAAGGATTCTCACAAAGAAATCTGGAATATAAAGAACTACAAACATCCAGGGTTAGTATCCTTTAGGGGCAAAGTCTAAGAGTCTGGAAACTGAATTGGGTCCCATCACTTACTGTGTGTGTAGGACCTTGAGAAAGTCATTTATCTTCTCTCTGTCTCAATTTTTTCACTGGGAGTGGGGGTGGGAGTTGGAGAAAAGTGCCTAACCTTTCCAACTTTGAAATTCTGTGAACTCTGATTACTCCCTGGGTGGCTGGAATGTATCTCAGAGTCTCAAGTTGAATTAATACCTGTTGGGATCCAAGTCAGCCCTGGAAATGTGAACCTCTTCTTTTGAGCGGAAACTCATACCCTTTCAGAGGCTCTGACATACTCTTGGTGCTTTTTACCTTCTAGGTCAGAAGGAAGAATCCCAACATTGTAATTGAAATTGGCAATTTCTTCATAGCGCCCCCCCGCCGCCCCAAAGAAAATCCACACTAATCAAAGTGTTTATATGGGGAAGGGGCCAGAACTAACGGGAAAAAAAGTGGGAGAGAACTGAGGTTGAACTGAAACTAACCAAACAGGATATCCCTAAGACCAATGAAAATGCCCCACAGTCACATTTGAACCTTGGACTCCAGCCACGCTAGCCTTTCCAAGAAATCCCAGCATATTTTCTGCTCTCTAAGGTGTCAGACCGATTGCATATTAGCCTCTGATTGCACCAAAAATTTTTTCTTAAAGCCTTCTTTTAGTTAGGCTATAGGATGTTGGCAGTGATCATTTATATTAGTTGGGCACCAACCCACCCCCTCCCCAGCCCAGATTCCTAATCTTAATGGAACTGAGAGTTAAGAATGATTTTTTAATGTCTCGTTGGATTTTTAGACTGTTAATGTACCGAATCCTTCTCATTATTACTTTATTGATTGCTCATTGACCAGCCCCCTTCAAATCGTATTAACCACCCTCTGCCGGTTTAGATTAGGAGAGTTTAAAAAGCACCTTTCATTACTCCCTCCACTCCTGCCTTGGAGTTGAGACTCGGCATCTTAATGGGAGCTCTAATGGGGCAGCTAAGAGGAGAAAGGGCCACGGTCCCTGCCGATTGCATTAATAGCTCAAAGGGGGCCAATACAGAAAATTAGCCGTAAACGAGCTCTGGAGATCTTCAAATGAAAGAGCCATTTATCACGCTGGCTACCTTCACTCCACTCGTTTGCTCTCTCTACTGGGAACAACTCATTTCCTCTTAACTAAATTACTTCAGAAATGTCAGCTAAGCCCAGATAGCAAACATAACAAGAGAGCTAGCCTATAATCTATGGGGTGATATCAACACGGGTGAAAAATTGGACTGGTTAAATTTTAGGAGAGAGTCCTTCCATAATTAGAGTGAGAGACATAGAGACATATATCTTTTATGTCCAAGTCTTCTGGCTTCAGTATACGTAACGGCAGAGACATGCGAACCTGGATCAGTGGCTACAATTTGTTATTAATGAGGTAGACTTTTTAAATCTTTCTGCAAAAAATAAAAATTATAAAAATCTTTCTAAAAGTCCATTAGAAAATAAATTAAGCAACCAAGTTCCTTGCCAGTTGTTGAAATTTAGAAAATTTAGTTCAGAAACTTTCTCACCTCCTTTTTTAGGAAATTAATCTCTGGGAGATATCCCTTATAAGGGGAGGGGAGGGGACAAAGAGGGCCAGGAAGGAGCAAGTGAATCCATAGCCTTAAGTGGTTCATAGTTATCTAGAACAGTAAATCAACCACTTATTCCTACTTTGCCCGTGACTCTCTAAAGATAAACATATATTAGGATCTTTTCTTCATGTAATAAAGCAAATACCTAAAATACTAAATAATGGAGTTAACCTAAAACTTCATATTCATACCTTATCCCCTAAATCAATAAAGTGACTGGGGTGCCACTTAGTTATTTAAAACTGCACAATTTTAATAAAAGGCTTTCAGAGCCAGAGAAAGTACTCCGTGTTTTCAAAACAGAACCAGCAACTTTAGTCCATATTCTCCTTTTCTTATTACTGGAGATACCCTTCTACATAGATAATCACATTTTGCTGACAAACATATACAAGCCCTGAAACCAAAGCATCCCACATCTAAGAATATTTTCAGCTCCGCTTTGTTAAGCAAGCTAAGTTCCAAATATTTTTATTGGCCTACCTATTAATAATATTTCTGATTGGTCATCTGTTGGGCCTGCCCCACTGACAGCCCAAATGTTGTTTCTAGGATACAGAGCCCTGAGATAAGGGGTTCTAGTCTTCCCTGAAAAGGGAGGGGGAGCTGAAACAAAAAAGCCAATGGAGGAGTGCCTCCCCACCCTCCCCTACTCACCCCCATCGACCAGCAATTAACCAAAAGAGAAGACCCCAGAGGAAATGCTGAAAGTGAGCTGTCAGGACAGTTGCAAATCTAAGCACCAAGCCTGGGTGTCTGAGCAAACCCAAAAGCTAGCATTAAAAACTGAAATGATACTATCTAAAGAATAGAGGGAGGGATGTTTGGAGCAACACTTAGAATAAAGAGTTTTGCCCCAAATCTTACTATTCTTCAGGATATTACATTCCAAAGCCAAATGGCATTATTCCAAGTACAGCTCCCCTCCTCCCATCCTCCACCTCTTAAAGCCACTTTTTCTGTCTCTGTAAAAGAAGATAATTTAGAATACCTCACCCTGTTTGGAATTCTGATTTCACGACCCTCCTTACTGTAACGGCTTGACTTTGGGTTACTTTCCAAAGTGCTTTTTCCTTAATTGTTTTTGAGTGTCATGTGGCTCAAATTAATCATAAATGACTGAAGCTAGGGGTTGTTGACACCAGATATAAGGATGGGCCTTTTCCAGAATCGATAAGAAAGGGTTACAGTAGTTAAAATTGTATCTCCAAATACCAGTTCTTGCGATAATTAAAGATTGCACTGTTTACACATTCAAGGTCCTAAATTGGTGGCATGTGAGTGACATTCGGGCCTTTCGGCAGCCACACTAATCGCTAGGCATTCTCTCAGTGACTGTCAGAAGAGAGGGGGAAAAAATTAAGCAGCTGCAATACGCCCGAAATGAGTTATTGTAATTACATTTAATTAGTTTAATTAGTTAATTATTTTGCTTACAGCTGTACAAGAGACTGCAAACATTTGTTAATATCACATGCCCTTTAACAGTATGGGGTGATTCCACAGTCACACTAAATCATGAATGCATATGTAGAAAGATTTAGAAATGTGCATAGGCTGTCTCAACTTCTTAGGATGTGCATATTTAGCAACAAATTTGGCACAATTTTTTAAAAAATAATAAGAAACAACTCATAAAACACAGAGAACTGGAAACAGAATTACCACACACACACACACACACACACACACACAAATCAAATGCAAAAACAAGAAGAGGAACTATCTCAACAACATAGGGTTTAGCTCAGCAAACTCCAGTTACCAATGAAATAATTATAGCATGTTTTTGAAAGCAGTGTTTCCTAGTCAGTTTCATACATGATAGTAGTTCAATTATTTAAGATATATCTAGAATTGCTACCAAATGTACATGAGAAAAATGTCAATAGTCTCTGTCCCTCTGTCTCTTATCTGGGTTTCTGCCTTTGGTTGCCCCCACCCCCAAATTTCCTTCTTCCCGACATGCCTTTTTCATCTAGACAGCCCCTGTCCTATGATTGTGAACAAACATTTCTCTTATAAAATAACTAATTCCCCCAAAGTGAAAACTCATAAAGACATGACTGCACAGGAAAACTTTGCTTACTTTTGGGAGGAATAATCCATACCTTTTTTTATGACAGACTGGTCCAGTAGATTCATGCCGCTGTTATTGGCATCTTCAACTGACTGTGAATATAAAAACATCACTATTCAAATTGACTGGATATTAAAGAATTGCACACATAAATCATGTCATTCCAAACTGGAGTTTCTGTTATTTCCATTTATATTAATTCACAAAGGGAGGTTTTATTATTATCATTATTACCTCCAAATCAACATAGAAATGAAATTCACCGAAATTATAAATTCTTCCAATGGAAGCAGAGGAAAAAGGAAACTGTGAGAGACATCTGGGATGCAGTATTGCTTTAGTTATTATATTAAACATAGATGTTACACAGACATAAAGTTTTATATTATTTGCTCTTATGAATTGTGAAAATTTGGCAATAGCTGAAAGATTTTCACCAATATTAGTAAGAATAATTTGTGTTTTCAATTTTATCCCAGCGCATCTTAACCCTAGAGTCATTTTACAAATACATAATAGTTTACATTATGGGATTTTAATTAAAGTCTGAGCAATTTGGAATGGAATGCAAACAGCAACACATAGGAACACGTTTGCAAGCTGGCAGGACCGCACGCCCATGCAGTCCATACACGTCCTTGTGTGCTATGAATTTCTTGCTGTGTGATAATCCCTGAGAGGAACCTGCACAGTTTGCCCCCTCCCTATCCTTCTGCTGCTACTTCCCAGCAAGAAGCGCACCTGTTAGGATGGCAGTAATAACTACAGACACACAGATACAAAGACTCAGATCCTCCCAGTCAGCACCTAGGTAATGGCAAAGAGCATTCATCTTCTGTGCCACAGTCTTATCCTAAAGAAGGAAAGTTTCAACCCTGGGTGTTGGCAGCACTTCTGAGGGGAAAGAGCTGTTGGGATGAGTTTCTTACTGTCAGGATGCACCAAGAACAGAGTTTTGGCTGTGCATCCCAGAGCATCCAAAAGCATTGTATTCCCTCCTCCACCCCCCCAATGAAAAATAAATGCTAGGTCTTTCTGAAATGTCCTGCTGCTTTCCCTGATTCTTAGGAACCCAAGTTTGGACCAATTTGTCACCCACTCTACAGAGAAGTAAAGAGCAAAGGGCTTGAGAGTGAGGCTGTGTTTTCACAGCACCTTCCACCCACTCACAATGCATCCCCAGACAGGGCGTGTGTTCATCACAAGGAAGAGACTGTCTACCCCAAACAAGCAGCATTAGAAATGAGATGATCTAATCACGAAGGGAGCATGTTAATTTGTTTCTTTTCGTTTTTAACAGTCACTCTTCAGTTGTCGGAAAGGTGAGGAAAATTGTTATTCTCCGTAAGAACCGTTTTCCATGTTGCAACATGCCATGTACATATTAAGAAATAGTAAAAGCTTCTTTAAAAAAGACTTCATATAACTTGTTTGAAACTCCTCAGGAGACCCCACCACGCACACGCACATGCGCGCGCACACACACACAAGATTCACGCCTTGCTATGCTCACGTGTCTACAATGCGAGGTGTCCACTCAAGACAAAAATAATCGCCTGTGTCTGTGGGCGGGCAGGCCCGGGATCTCAGGGGCCAGGACCCGGGCGCCCCCACACCTCACCCTCACGTCGATACGTAAATATGTATATACGCCTCATCAGCAACGTGGGGGTAGTTGTGGTAGTTAATGAGAAGGCTCTTGTCTGATTTTCTATCTAATTACGGCCGCCTGCTGGGTTTTTGTACAGGATATTCACGCAGCATGCTGGCGCTTAATCGTCACAGGGAGGATCGTAAAGATTTAATTAGGACTGCATGCGGAAGCGCAGAAAAACAACTCAGACTCGTAATTACTAGACTTCTTTAGTTAAAAGTGATACCAGGGGTTGCTTTAAGACACTAGGGTGTGTTTGAGTTTGTGTGTGTGTGTGTGTGTGTGTGTGTGTGTGTGTGTGTGGTGGATTTGACAACATCCTGATATGTTTATACTCAGGGGTAGTAGAGGTGAGAGAGTTTAGAGACCAAAGATTGTAAGAAGAGGTGTTCATGACAACTAAACTCCAAGCTAGGTGTCATCTCACTCCGTTCTGATGCTGTTTTTTTGAGTTTTTAACACTGCATTCCCCCAACACACATACACACAATGGGTGAAATGTAGCATACCCAGAACCCAAACAGCGATTTGCTAGTTTAATAGCCCCTGTGAGTAAATTGAAATAGAAATTGACAGGGTTTTATAGTTTCATTTAAAAAAATATTAGAAGCATTTGGTTAATTAGCTCCTCTCCTCCTCTCACGGTCGGGGCGGTGGCCCTCCGCGTGTGTGTCTGGGTCACCCAACATAGCCCCATACCAACCCTCGGCCAGGTGATACCCCTTGCTAAGAGGACCACCGGCCCAGCAGCGCCCTGGGAATCTGTCTGGTCCGCCGCTGGAAGGAGGGGGGAGGAATCCGGAACACATAATAGGTTCTTGAGATGGAACAAGTGACTGAGGTCCAGGCCGAGGCACTCTCTGGTCCCTTCTCAAAGACTGTTCGGGCGCAGCCAACCCAATCCGTAGCTGCAAGTAACGGCGAGATCCCGACAGGCTCGTAACCTCGCCCCTTACGCTCCAGATCCCTAATTCGGAAGTGGATCCTACGGGATGGAGCAGATGAGGCACAGCCTCTGCATTCGGGGCTCTGGTCCTAGGTACATCTCCTCCCCTGTCTTTCTTTGTCACCTGCCCCGTGTCGCGTCAAGCACACCCAGGCCTGAGAGGCCTGTCATCGCCACTGAAACAGAGATCGTCCCCGCTGCCTGGGATAGGTGGGAGGGGGGTATCTCCCCCCAACCCCCTGCACTGAGGCTCGTCCAGATAAAGTCCCGCAAGCCACCCCACCTTTCCAGAGGAGCGGCTGCGAAGCTTCTGGGGGAGGAACAGGGCAGAGGTGTGTGGATGGGGAGCATGCGTGGGCCGGGGCCTGCACCTTCTCTCCTTTGGGCTCTTTGCACCTCGCGGTCCGCGTTCCGACGCAACAACTCAGCCAGCCGCGCGACGCTTTGACGAGGCTGTTCTCCCCAATACACACTGAACTGGTCCTGTTCTCTCGTCCTTTGCATTTGGCCAAACACTCAAAACCCCTCACAGTTAAATCTTTAAAAACTAAACTAAACTGAAACCAAAGAAATCTATTCCCTCTTTTTAGAGAATTCCTGGGTTCAGTTGACTGAGTCACTCGGCCTGCAGGGTGATGATGACGCCGCCAATGTGTTGGCATTGCCAACAGCAGTGGTGATGAGTTGATCCACTTTCATTATCTAGCACTTTGAGCGTACTCAGAAAGGTTAATTTCAGAACTTACGCCCCCCCAACACACACATTACCCCAATACATTTTTTAAAAAAGCTCTTAAATATTTCCTTCTTGTATGGTATTCCGAAACGAGCAGTCCCTCCAGACAGGGATAATCAAGCTTGATTAAACCAACAAAACGATCATTCTTATTACTACAGGTAAATCCAGCCACAAATCAGGTGATTCCATCATTTTTGGAAATAAATAACTGAATTTCCTTTAAAACAATAAGCCATCATAGACTACACACAGGCAGCATTTGATGCTGTCACCACATTTTAACTGTTCAAAATACTTTTTTTTCAAGTAAGGTAAAAAAGAAGGACTCAAGTACTCTTTTTTTCTTCCCCATTTCATTTTTCTTTGCTTTAGAAGTATGTCTAAAATGATGCATAATATACACAACTATGCCAATGAGACCGAAGTGTCAAATACCTTTCAACCATATTTATCTTTTCTGCAGACTATTTAAATTAGGGAGCAAAAGGAGACCTGCTCAGAATCACCCAGACAGTTTTTAGAAATCGTTTCTTTGATGTTTCTTTGTTTACTTTAACCAAGTATTCTCAACCAAATCAGGCTCCATTGTGTAGGTTGCAGATGGGTTAGGGAGTGGGTGGGGGGAGTGTTTTGAGCCTTTTGTTTTAAGAAACAAACACGTGATGCCTCTTTAACTGGGATAGTGGCTTTGGGGAGAGGAGAGTATTAACGGAGGGGGAGAACTGAGGAGGATGTGGAGAATATTGTTCCACAGTCATTTAATGGATCAAAAGGTGAAAACAATCTCCAAAATGGTATGTGTCCTCTTGGACTCCCAAGCAGAATTATGGCTTTCTGGGTCTCTCCACACAATTATTCCATTTCTCAGGAGATGACTCTGGAACTAACTTATCTTGAAAAAGGGCTCAGCAGCTTATGAAACATTCAAAGTAGGACCTGGTTTGGACAATCATAGCACATGTTTTTCTTCCCATGTGCATTGTCATGCTTAACATCCAGCAGGAACCTCTGGAGCCCAAGAGGACCTTGTGCCTCTCTGCTGAAGCTCCAGACTCTAGGCAGCTCAGTCTTTCACCTGCCTTGTTAGGAGGCCAGGCCCACTATGGGACACTCATGAGGAGTGGGTTGGGAAGGGTACCCAGCTCGCTAGAACAAAGTGCAGAAGAATAGGGAGTAGCTAAGGCAAGACAAAAAACATCTAGCCTTAATTCTGGTGATGCTAAACTATCAACACACGCATATATTTTTCTCCTTCATGATTTCATTTCTAGTGGTTCCAGCTTTCATAATTGGACCTCCAGAAATCACCACCACAGAGCCATACATGTATAACACAGAAACGGTTATATATGTGGTGTCCAGCTATTCCTGTTCTAAAGATGGAAACTACCTCCCCCAAAGGATACAGAGCTGCCCCTCCTCCACCCCTCCCATCTCCCAGGGCATTCACTATTTATTTATTTATTTATTTATTTATTTATTTGTCCTTTTCATTTGTTTGTTTGTGGTTACCTGGACGTCTTCCATTCCGGGATGGCCGAGGCCGTGCAGCGAGAGGCTGTCACCCATGCCCGCATCCAGGCCGTGGTGCGCCGAATGCAGCAGCACGTCTGGCCGGCGGACCGAGTGGTAGTCCCTCCGGGGGTCGAGGCCCGAGAGCTGGGGCAAGGCTGCCCGAGGCTGGGGCAGGAGAGAGCCGGCTTCCGAACCCACTTCTTGCCGCTGCCGTTGCCCCCAAGGATGCTGCTGGGGCTGGTGCAGTGGGTTCAGGGAGTAGGGGTCGTTGACGTGGGAGTAGGGATCCTGGCTCTGATGGTAGGGGAGCGGCTGGTAGGGAGGCGGGAAGTAGGGCGGCTGGAAGTCTGACGACGGGGTGTGGGACAGCGGCGGGGCGCTGGAGTAAGGTCCCTGGGATACCGAGCCCAGCTGGGAGAGCCTGGAGCTGTGGCTTGGGACGCCATCGTGCCGGTCCTGGGAGCGGAGAGAAGGAGAGAGAGAGAGAGAGAAACAGAGTGACAGAGACAGAGAGCGAGAGCGAGAGCGAGAGAGAAAAAAAAAAATACAAGCGACTAATGGAGAAGCCCGGCTTCCGTATATTCTTCCCAGGACAGGGGAAGCAAGAGTCTGAAACTTATACTCCCAAGTTGACTCAGAGGGCACATGATTTCAGCAATTCCAAACGCCAGGCTTTGGGGGGAAAATGGGGAGAATCACCACCCACTTAACCAACATCTGAGCCTTGTGTTGGGAGTGCAAAGCGGGCAAAAGGGGTGAGGGTAAAGTAACTATGTATGGGGAGAGATTCTAAATTTCTTGGTTAAAAATATAGGAGCCTTACACAGAGTATTTCCTCTTCTGGGTATTTTAAACTATTTTTCCTAACTCTTTCAGAGGTCCAAAGCATAACAAATTAAACGTCATACTTTTTGCTGTGCTGCTCCTGTTCAAAACCAACTTCGGCCTTCAGTGGCAACCCAGCCAGCTGACCAAGAGCTCCCCACACAGACCTGGTAATTCCAGGAGCTCTGAGGAATCTGCCTGATCTGAGTTCCCAGTCACCCCTCCCTCCCCAAGAGGAATTAAATAATTTAAATAGTGTTTGATTGAAATGGATCTCATTTGAAATCATACCCTGAACCCACGTTAAATTAAGTTGAATTGTGGTTCCGAGGAGTTATTTCTAAGGTTGCTTTTCTGTATCTAATGCTATTATACTCCAGGGTGTGAAAATGAAGGACCTGGGGTTGGGAGGGAAAAACTAGAAAAAGCCCAGACAACTTACTGTTGGTTCTATCTGGAGTGGCAAACTAAGTGGAAGGAGAAGGGGGAGCTGTGGGTGTGAGAGGAGTGTTTAAGTTTCTCCCTCTCCTCTGTGGAAATGCCTTGGTAAAGTCCCTCTGGTTCTTTTTGGAGAAATAGTCACCTAAATTTCCAAACTGCAATGGCAAATAAAAAGTTTTTCTCTGCGGCCTCCCCCCTCCCCAGCTGACTCAGGGAGCTCAGACGGAGAGCACACAATGCAGAGAGAAGCAGCTGCAGCCTCGTCCAATTACGGTGCTAAATTACCAAGCCAAAGGCGCTCAAAGGAAGACAGAGACAGAGAGAGTGAGGCACACACACAGAGACGGAGAGACAGAGAGACAGTGAGAGGGGGGAGCATGCAATTCTGGTACAACGTGAATCCAAACTCACCATGGATGAATAGGTGTGGACTAACATCTGGAAAAAAAAGCCTGGTTACTGCTCAAAATCAAACAATGATTAAAAAAAAAAAAAAATCAAGGAGTCCAGCAGAGAAACGAGCTGGACACAGGAGCCAAGCTTGAGGGGTTTCCAGGACAAGCCATCAAAAAAAAAAAAAAATCCCCCCCACCCCCAAACAAGATTGGCGATGCCTGTCACACACAGACAGAGCTGTTCATCGGTCTCTTGCTGTCTTTTTGGCCTCTTTTCTTCTGCCGCTCTTCGGGGCTCCAGATGCAGTCCTCTTCCACCCGAAGCTGGGCTCAGACTGCTCGGGCGCCCCTTCCTCCCTCCGCTTGCCTACACCGCCTCATAATAATTGATATTCATGACTATTAATATTACACGAGTACTTTAAAGGGAGAATGGAGGACAAATGGAGCGTGAAGCAGCAGCGAGCGCAGAGCTCCCCTACTATTGTAAATGACGTTCATTCAGTGGAGAATTACTAGATGTAATCAGACGAGGGGGCTGGCAAAGGCAGACTGGGGAAAAAGTTTAGCAGGAAAGAGGCAGAACTTCAATTAACTGAGCCGGGGACAGGCGTAAGGCAGCCCCTGCTCCTTTGGACAAGGCAGTGAGGGAGAGCATCGCTGGGGGCTTGTACAGAACGTAGGTGTCCTTGTTCCTGGAGAGGGACTTTCCTAATGGGAAGAACTGATTGCCCTAGGTGCTTTGGGTGCAGATTAAAAAACAAAATAAAAAGGCGTTGCCTCATCATTTGGAGGGGAGAGAAAAGTAAACTGGTGGGCCTGGTTGTTTACAGTGACGTTTAGAGACTTGCACTGAATGCTGGAAATTATGCTTACTTATTAAAGGACAGGGGCAAGATGGGGGCTTTTCATCCCTTGTGTAGCCTTTCCCTCCTTATACTGCTCATACAATCCGTGATTTTTACCTCAATTTAAAATATATGCAATCAATCTTCAAGTACACTAAACTTATCCTTTCCAAAAGGCAAAGCCAGGGGCAACAGAAAACCTTTTTGGATGTTTCAGGAACCCGTTCAACTGGCCTGACTGCCATTTCTGTTAAAGTTCAACCTTCTTCCCGACTTGAAAAGGTTCCTTCCACAGGGTTGCAGGTTCTCCTATATTTTTGAGCAGAAATTTTAGGCTAATAGGGATACCTGCAATATTCTCTCTCCTCTCCCTCCTCTCCCCCCGTCTCACTCCTCCCCTGTCTTCTCTCCCTCTCTTCCCCCCCTCCCTCCCATTTTATTCTCCTCTCTCTGCCCCTCTTCCACTCCACCCCTCCCTCTTCCTCTCTCCCTCCGTCCTTTCTGGTCTCCCTCCCTCCTTTACCATTTAGCCAGTTTACTTTTCATAAGCAAAGAACAAGTTTTATCCTGCTGACTTTTGGGAACCCACTGAAATCCCTCTATGTATATTCCGAGCTATTTACACACCGTGCCCCCGTCTCCACCCGTTCTCATGCCACCTCGGGCGCTCACATTCTTTAGGATAGTTCTAGCGACTTCGACTTTACCATTATCCCGCGTGTTAAAGAAAGAAAAGGAGGCCGAACCGAAACAAAACGCACCAGGCGGAGGCGCGGCTCTTCGTTACAGTCAATAGACGCCACAAAGAGGAAAGGAAAACCCTAATCATCATTCCGCAGAAAGACGAATCTCCTCAATCTCTCTTTCTCTCTCCGTCTCTGTGCCTCTGTCTCTTACACACACACACACACACACACACACACACACACACACTAAAACTAGTATTCCGGGCTGGCGGGAGCTGGGGACAGTGAGCTGCCTGCGGGACGCGGCGGGCAGGCTGCGGCGGGGCCTCGGAGCCCCGGTCCGCCCCGTAAGCCTGGGCCGGCGGCGTCAGTCGGGGCTTACCGACCGCTTCAGTGCGCGGCCCATCATCCGCAAGGCGGCTTCCTGCCGGGCTTTCCGGAGTCGTCCCGGAGCGGAGGGGTCGCATTTTCTCCCCCCACTGGTTTGGGGGAGGCTCTGGGCGTCCCACCGCGACCGTTTGGTACGACCGATCGAGCGCTACTCGCCCGGGACTTTGCTTCCCGTCCTCCCTCCTCTCTCCAACTTTTCCGCTTTACAGTCTCCGTCGCCCGGCTCGCCAGCTTCGACCTTTCCCCTGCCTTAACTCTGCTGCGCCTTTCCTCGAAGCTTTTCTTTCCTCCCTCCCTCGACGTCTCCTCCAGCCTTCGCTTCCCTCTTCCCCTGGCACCTAAGTCCGAGTCTGCGAGGCCATTCCGCTCCGAGCGAAGTTCCCCGGGCCTCCGCCGCCGTCCCCTCCCCGTCCCGCCGCGTGCCCCGCCCGGACGCCCGCCTCGCCCGCGAGCCCCGGAGCCGCCCCGCCGCCGCATCAGTCGGCGCCCCAGACCGCGGAGGGCAGCGGCGAGCGCGGCCCACGGCCCCGCCGGGCGGCGGGCAACTTCTCCAGCCCGAGGAAGAGTTGCGCTAACCCCAGCGTTGGAGAGCAGTGCTCTCTGAACAAGGGCAGAACATTGAGTTAAAAATGCCCAAACATGGGGTGGTTGGACGCACTGACTCTCAAAAAAGCAAAACACAAGAAAAAGAAAAAAAAAAAAAAGATCTGCCAGGGCTCCTTGGCTTGTGCTCTATCTACACCCATCTAGCCCTCTATCTGCTTCCCTCCTCCTAATTTTCCGTCCTCTACTTGGATCCGTTTGTTATTGATTTCAGAAATATTATTGAAAATAAAAATTAAAAGCCTGAGTCTGTTACGAATGAGGCTTGAAAATCTCATTCTCTCCCATACTCAAAACGAGGAGAGCCTCTGCCTTTATCAGTCTCTATTTTCTCTGCCCACATTCAGTAGCACCACATTTCCCATCAGAACCTTAAGGGGGGGGGGGCGAGGAAGAGAGAAAGAAAAAGAAAAGAAAAAGAGAGAAAGAGAGAGAGAGAGAAAAAAATCTCCTAACTTAGAGTAGCCAGATTTCAACCTTAAAGTTCTTTTTCCGAATCGCGAAGTCTCCCCCCAGCCAGCTTTTCTAAAAGTTAGAGAAAGCTGAGAAAACCGGCCGGAAATCTACGACTAAATAGCTGAAAAATATATATCAGTTGGGGTGTCAAGAAGCTCAAATTCTCTATCTGCAAAGCTCTAAGATGCATCTGGGGGTGTCGGCTCACCTCATAGATATCTTCGTACTTGACATTCTCCACGAGCTTCCAGAGCATGATGGCAGCCTGGTCTCTAGGAGGTGAGTGCATTCATGTGAGGAGCAGATGTCTGGCTTCTCAGGACTCCGCTGTCTGTAATGATCCATCTATAATTGGAAATGGGGGATACACACCAAATCCGACGCTCCTCTCCCATCGCAACTTATATCTGTTGTCTCAAACAATAGGCTGGAGAAGTAAGCCTCAGCAGAGAGAAAAACATTATTACACGCACAGGAGTTAGATGCAACCCACAGACATATATATTATAAAAAATCATAAACACGTATTTACACCCAGACACCCACATTGAGTTATATAAGCACCCCTGGGTCACACAGAGTCTACAGGCTCTAAACATCCATTTAAAGGAGAGATAGTCGTTCAGTGTGATTAAAATAAATATACACATTTAAAAACCTCTATGTGGAAAATGATGAATCATTGTAGCCACTGACTAAAGTCTTTACAATTCATAATGAGAAACCAGGGGGCCAACAGTCCCCCATTTTCTATGTAGATTTTAAAAGGGGGACCATTACTGAGATTTTTATACACAAAACTCCTATTCACGTGTGTTCAGCAGGAGGGTATTTTGAAAGCTGGATTTGGGGATTTTTTAGGGCAATCTCTCTGTATCAGTGTCTACAAACTTTTTTTTTTACCGTACTTCTGTCACCGTAGAACAACAACAACAAAAGCCAGCTCACCACAGTGACTATTTCTAATATTTTTTGGTCATTTTGCCCTACACATTTGGAAACTTAAATACTGTGTGAACACCTCAGTCTGTCTTGTTTGTCGTTTTAAGGGTTGTTTGTGTGCATTTTCAACGAATTCCTTGTGCCTTGGCTAGAGGCTCCATATTATGAAGTATTGTTCTTTTTTTTTTTTCAGGTGTTGGGAGCACAAATTCGCACACTGTTAATTCTTTGCAGAGGCATAGGACATTATAATTGCATCTGTTGTCTATAACTTTTAAGTGGTTTTAATCATGGACAGTCAAGAAATGTTCACCTGAACCTTTGGGAGATTTAAGCAGAATGTTCTTCAAAGAGATAGTGAAAAATATTTTAGTATGTATGGATTTTGTTTTTGTTTTGAGTGTATTTTTTTTCTTAGGGAGGTGAATTGTGTAGGTTTTTTTTTTTTTTTCCAAAAGGAACACATAAACAACAATAACAAAGTTAACAAAACCTTGAAAATGGGCACCCTTTAAGGCACAGGGTTTCCGAATTTCATCATGAAGTGAATACTCAACCTCATTCCTCTTTCCCCACCCCCTCTATTTTTCTACTCCCTTTCAGGGTACGGAAGGATTCCCACAGCCAGAAGGGAAATCCAGTGGAGGATCTCTGCCCCTGGGGCAGAAAATAAATGACAGGAGGGAATGAGGAGGGACCGGGGCAATTTGGGGTGGAAGTTATTAAAACTGATAAGAGTGAATCTGCAAAGGGCGATTGTCTGTGAATCTCACGACTGCTGAGCTCCGCCTTGTGCGCGCCGGGTCGGACGCTCTTCCAGGAGAGGGCTCCGGACAACCGCGGTGGACTCGATAAAAACCAAGGAGAAGCTTCATATAATGCAGAACGAAAAATTCTGCAGGCTTTTGATTTGATTTCTTAACGATAAGTCCAATGAAAGGAACATTAAAAAAAGGTGCAAAGGTGCTTCAGAAAGAACTTCAGGAATAAATCCTTTTTTCTTCATTTCCAGTTGTAATTTTCACGTTTCGCCTTTCCTTTTCTGCCTCCCTCCTGCCCTTCCTCTCTCCCTCCTTTTCTTCCTTCCATCCTGTTATCTTCTTTTCCTCTACTTTAAATATTAACATCTTAAACAATACAAAATCTATACAGATTTCCCACTGGGAGCGTGAGCAAAGATTTCTTCTTTGCCCCCAGAGCTGGTTTGGACATGGGAAGGCATTCTTTCTAATTGCATTGTGTGGTAGGACTTGGTACCGGTTTTACCATTCCTTCCCACCCCTTCCAGAATTAAAATCAGTCGCAGATCAATATTTTGCAAGACGAATATTATAGACTTGGAAATTCAGATGCTCTAGACACAAATTTATTAATGAGAACAATTGCCTTCTTCCTTTCAAGTCAATAACTCCATTATCTTTTTAAATCTAAAGATCACGCCAACCCAAATAAAAAGCATTTGAAAAAATTTTTTTCCTCTAAAATCTTTTAAATCGTTCTGGTATATCATTGATTAGTCTAAAATAAATAAACTCTAAAGCTTAAAGCAAGAAAAAAACCCATGAAGATAATTTTATATGCAAAACTATTTGAAATATATTATTAGCATAGCTATTTTATAGCATTGTATATGTATAATTTAAAAATTTGCATATGTAATTTTATTTTTTTCTAATATTAGGTATTTTTAAGATTAGAAACATCATGAAATATTTGGTTAAAATTTATATAAATTCTTTAGGAAAACTGAAAAAAAACCCAAATCTGGTTTTATTAAGAACGAAGCATAAATTTAAAAATATATACACATAAAGAGATATACAAAGAAGTACATAACGATAATTAAAACCCGCGTCAGTTTTTCAACATGGGCATTATTCAAAAAAATCCTAGAAACTGCAAGGGAAATCTTTCCTTGGGAGGCCTACACTCAGTCATCGAACGGGCAACAGCGCCCTCTGTCGGGATTTTATACAAGCAAATCCTGCACAGCCGGGGGATTTATTTGTTAGCGATTTCTTTCCACTCTTGAAATGAAAACCTATTATCGCTAAAAGCGTTTTAAAAGTTCAATTCTTATTATATCTACTAATTTTTGAAGCGATTATTTCAAGAGCTAAAATGTTCAAAAGTCTCAAAAAATGTACAAATAAAAACTCAATCTCTACGGAGAAAATTTTCCTTACTTGAGCCTGCTTTGCTTTGCTCTTAACTCTCTGCTGCATTTCGCTTTAACCTCCAATCACATGATGTAGGAAAAGATCCCCGGGAGGACTTAATAAATGCCAAACAAAGCAAACGTAAAGGCTAAACAATCTTTGTTTTGAAAAGGAAGATAAACGAGTAAAATATGCATTTTCATCATTTCACTTTTCGTTTCGTCCTGCCCTGTGCCTATATTTCTATTTCAGGGCACGCACCCAGTCGCCTAGGTAAAAAGCTGGCTGGAGACATTCAAGATAGTTATATTCGTATTTTCCCCTTTCACTTATATTTATTTCAGTTTATAAGAGCGGAGAGGAGAGTTAATAATGCCCTCCTCTTCTCAGTCTCAAATGGAGGGAGTGTTTTCTGGTAAACGTAGGCGGCAGTAATTGAAAGCTAATGCACCTAGGATAGAGCCCTCTGCTGGTGGTTTTCGAGTAGGTTTATAATGTCTCATAAAAAGTGTTACTGAAAAATACCATTATATTAATTCAAGATCAACTACTAGCACTCTCATGTCTCCTTTTTTCTAAAAATCTAATTATGAATTAACTAATTTTCTCAGACTTCCTTCTTTCTCCTATTCACCTTAGCACCTAGGATTTCAGGTTTATAAACTATCTCCCTTTGCAGCTAGCTCCCTGATGGACTACCTTCTCTTTTACACATTACATGGACCACCTGGGTTTCCTTTTTTATTTTTTTTAATCATCCGCTAACACAAGAATAATAAAATGGAAAAAGCCAAGACTTAGAATTAGGATTATTGTGCCAAGTCAAGACCCTGACCCTTCTCAGTCTGGGTCCTAGGGCCTTGGGTAATGTCCTGGTTGGAAATTGGGGGTGGAAATACCAATTTACGTCCTCTATGTACTGAGCACCTTCCTCACAGCATCATGAGGCTGTCTTCCTTCATTCCTCCCTTCCTTCTGAAATTAAGATGATAGTATTTTTGGATTTTTTCCAGAGTTGTTTCTGTTCTGGATTTACAAACAGGCAAAGGAGGAGAGAAAAGGGAGCACCGACTTACTCTGACATGCGCAGAGTCACCCCACTCCCACCTCTCACCCATCAGAACCATTAATTCTCCACCAAGTTGGTTAATAAGACATGACAGTTGCAGTTTTTATTGGTGACAGCCTGACTCTATTTTTCTAACACGTTTCTATCTTGAAGCTTTCTCATGATCATATTTTTTTGAGAATCTTGATCACATATGTATATATATATTTTTTAAATATTTTATTTATTTGACAGAGAGAGAGAGCACAAGCAGGGGGAGCAGCAGAGGGAGAGGGAGAAGCAGACCCCTGCTGAGCAAGGAGCCCGATGTGGGGCTCAATCCCAGGACCCTGGGATCATGACCTGAGCCAAAGGCAGATGCTTAACTGACTGAGCCACCCAGGTGCCCCTTGATCGTATATTTTTAACATCAACTTGGAAAAATTACTGTCAAATGTGTGAAAACACAGTTCAAGCACCTGTCCTTGGATATATAAGGCTTTGCTGCCACATAGGTTGCAGTGGTCTGGGTTTGAGGAAACAAAATAGGAGGAGCTAATTCTTCCACAGGAGCATTTAAAAAAATTAAACGAAGATGATATTATCTCTTCATGACTATACAAAGTGACTATTGACTCTTCGTGATTATATAGAGTGAGGCAAACACTGGAAAGGAAATAGCATTTATTATTTTAACTGCAATATTAAAACTGTTGTGCACTTGTGAATTTGTAAAGTGATATTTAGTTGAAATCACTTGTAAGAATGAAAATCACTGTGACTGTAGAAACTCCTACTTTCTTTTGGACTTTTGAGGAGCAGTAGTAATTTTATCACATATTTTAGATGTTCTGAAGTCCTTAGGCTTTTCTGTTTAATTACGGGGGTATGAAGTTGCTAAGGGGACAATTTTCAAATTTCTATCTCCTGGAGATAAAGAGGTTAAGAAATGGAAGATGGGGGGTTGGAGTAAATGATGCAAACAGCCACAGCACAGTTGTTCCCAAGACTAAGGGATATTTCATATACAAAATGTGAGAGGTGCGCGCTTTCCCTGGCGTGACTAATGCGGGAAGACAGGTATTTCCATCATTGTGGACATTTTCCATATTATTGCTTTAAGAAGGAGCAATCTCAAAGGGTGAGAACACTAAACAATTTGGTTTCAAAATGCAACCAATAGACCAATG